ATGGTCCCCAAAACTGGTTAAACTAAAACGACAACTCCCAAGTTGCAAGATACCTTGTTAGATTTCATGTTGAAGTAGTGGACGTTAAGGTAACTTGAAAGTAAGATTTACAATAGGCAAAGCTTACCAACTGATGAAGGGTGAAGGGTGAGAAGGCATAGGGAAGTGATATGTCAAAAAACATTCTAAATCATGTAGTTGCATAATGACAAGGCTGAGGTAAGCTATACCTTTGACCCACCTTGTTCTTTTATTATATCTAAGATTGTGTTAGTTTCAACAGCTTACGTGAGGTGTATTTCTGCTCTTCTGACTCTCACCATATTAGTTTTAAAACACGTGGAGGCAGCACACTAAAAAAACAATATACGGGTAAAATCTGACAAAGAGTTCAAGTCTGTGAAAGTAACATTACACAGGTAAGCATCATGACAAAAATATAAACGCCAGAGTATAATGTGAATCTCCACTAAGCTTCTAGGACTGGACTGCACATCGAAAGGCACAGAGGACATGTATTTTATCCCTGGCTGCTAATAATGTGAGTAACCATCTGAGCCTGTTAGGATGTTTATCATTCAGCCCCTCGGTGCCCATCCTTTTTCTCTAGAAGAATTAAGGTTACAAAGTTGCAACAATCACAGGCACGACAGTGGCTGGACTCTAGCATCTCTTATTTGAAACACACCCCTGAAAAATGGCTCTGAAGATTTCTTGAACTAAACTGGTCCCCACCCTCTAGAATCTGAAGCCCCAAGATGGGACTACAAGTTTAATTTAAAACAACCACATAAGCACTGAAATACGCAGTACAGAGATGCACAGTATTACCACCGTTTATTCAAAACCAATTCGCCGTCGTCTCCCTTTGAGAGCGATAACCCCTGCTCGGCTAGTGAAATGGAGGGAGAAGCAGAACAGCAGTAACAAAATTATTCTTAAATCAACCACTGTGATGACCTGCATCACTACTCAGTTCCTGGCACACAGTAGGCACTCCTATCTGTGAAGGAATGAATCATTGACCAGCCTTCGGTACATTACACAACTACTCTATACACTTTAAACTTTCGATATAAGTAGGCTTTCTCTGGCTTAATTTCTCTAATTGTCTGAAACTCTGACATTAACACAATCAGTAAAAGATGCTTCTATTTTATGTAGAAATCGCAAAGACAGAGAAGCTATATATCATGTGCCCCACGTTGAGGCTCATTTGACCTTCGTCTTAGATTAAAAACCACTTCCTGAGGAAGGAGTTCCCACCACTCAGCAGTATTATGCCTCCTGAGTTATTAATTCTCCTTGAGCACTATATTTTCCCTTTGTTGTATACAGCACAAGTCGTTAATAAGATCTGCATTGCTCTTTAACGTTTGTCCCTCTCTAGACTTTAGACATCCTGAAGGTGGTGGTCACGTGGACTCTGGTGACCGACCTATTTCTTGCACCTAGCCTGGCACATAAGTGTTTGGTAAATATTTATTCAATGAGTGTTTGAAAACAAGAAGCTCCTTTCTGAGAACAACAAAAATAACAGACTTCAATATACTCAAATGATAAAAGCTTGGGAATCAAAGGAAGAAACAGGAGGTCAGCAAAAGCGTCATGTTCAGAACCTCACTGTCCTCAACATGAAACTGAGAAAAGTTTCTCCCTGGTGGTCACGGTGATAAAAGAAGTAATGGTACCATGCGTGTCTGTGTGCCACTTTACAGGGTTCAAAGTGCTATCACATGTGTGGTTCATGACTGAAAGTCTCCAAAGAGTTCATACACCACTTTCTGTGGTTTAACATGAATGTTTTAAAGAGCTGTGACAGGTGTACAATACACCCATATACCCTGAAAGTTTTAATAAATGACTTACAAACTATGAAATTTCTTTTAGGGTTTGCTGTATAATATTCCCTCTTAAACCAGCTGGGACAAAGTCTTAATTTTTTTTTTTTAAAGTTTCAGAGCACTGAAATAAATACTGATTCTGAATAAAATCTTCAGGCATTGTAGATTATAGGAGCTCTTTTTTTCTCAGAGGACAAAGAAAGGCAATCCGAGAGCTTGTGCTGTGTGCCAAAGGGACTTCCCAGAGATTGTTGGTACATGGATCCACACCTCTAAGTTTCCAAAGTAAACTTTCTAAAACCTTTTCAGAGGTGTCTAACCTTCAGAATCCTGTGAAGGTGAGAGTAGGAGACAGACAATAAATTTAAACAATAAACTCTAATGCTCTGTGATGATTTAAAGACTTTTTTTTTTTTTTTTAAACTTTCTAGATCTGTATGAAAATTCACAAACAGAAAGACCACCGGGTGGATCACAATTTTGGCAAATGTTATAGTGATGGAAATATTGCTTGCCTTTAAGATCCTGCTCCACCTTTTTAAGGAATGTTTGGACATCTGAGTTTGCCAAAACCCAGTGTCTGACGTCTCCATCAACTTTTAGGAATGTCAAAGGTTTGATATATAGTCTCTAATCTGATTCACACGATAATCTTATGAACCAGGCAGGCCCAGAGTTGTATAGATGAAGACCATGAGGTTCCTAAAGGGTAACTTACTTCACTCGGGATCTAACTTAGAAAATGGAAGGACTATAGGTGGAAGAGCTTCCGATCCCTAGACCATCGCTATTCCTAAAGAGCTACACCATCCTGGCCCTTCTCAAACCGCTGTTCACTCTTTGCTCTTTGCCAAAGTAAGCAGTAAGAGAGCAGTGTCCATAACTTCAAGTGTGTAAAAAGTACATAGTGTATGTAAAGTGTAAAGTATTTCCCTCAAAAAAATAATGGCCATATCCCCACTCTATCCCCACACGGTTTCAGGTCTCAGAAACCTCATAAAATTATTATTTGCTATTCTTGGTCTTGTATCAAGCTTATGTACAAGGCACAACTTTGCATCAGAAAAAAAACAAGAAACATGTTTTCTCCTCTTATGAAAGACCAGAATCACTAACTACAAGTTGCTCCATATCCAGTGTAAGGTTAGGGCTGAAAAGTAGGGTAAAACTCAAAGTATAATCTTTCCTGTTTAGTAGGTAGGGTGAGGAAAATAAGGTTAAGGTCTCAAGAAGAAGAAATGCTAACTTGTTATGCTAGCATAACTTGAAAATAACGTTAACTACTGAAAGAATATTGGAGATTTCTTTCTCTTTGTTTTCTTCTTGTCTTTTTTTATTTTTAATGGGTGACTTGGTTTTATGAGGGGGAAGAGGTCGATTTTTTACATAAAACACCTTAAACATCTGTGAATCGTTCAGTTTAACAGAGGAAAAAAATCACATTAAGTTCTTTAACTTCCAAAATCTGTTTTCTTATCTATATTGTACCCTGTGCTATTACATTTGCACAACATCAAAGTTGAAGATAGAAAGGCCTATCAAATAACCTCCATTGAATGTAAGGGTCAAAGCAGGATTGATCCATATAATAGACCTAACCCTGATCTTGGCTGAAAATATACTTTAGTCTATAAAGTCAGCCTTGTTCTTTTAAGTCAGTGGTCTCAACCCTGAATATATATTAGAATGAGTTTTTTTAAAATACTGGTGCCCCAATCCTGCTCCAGAAATGAAATCAGAATCTCATTAGAAAAGGAACAGGCTGGTTCTGAGGGTCAGCTAGAGTTGAAAACCTCTAGTCTAATAAGCATTTTTTGTGATCCAGTTTCAAAGGCCCCAACGTCATGTCACTCTCATATTTTCCTATCAAGGAATACTTAACAGTCCTAGGAGTAACAGCCACAATGGTAAGAAACATCATACTTTCACAAGTTCAATGAGTTCACTACTTCTTGGATAGAAACAGATATTCTTAAATCACAAATACTACACTTAATAAATACTAACCATTTAAAAAGAAAAAAAATATTAATTTTTTTAAAAACTTCATATCACTATGAACATACAATTATGTCACGTGCATTTAATTAAAGCTTAAGCAATAAGCTATTTTTAAAAATGTATCTTCCACTGAATAGTAGCCAGTCTTATAAAATACTTGATTTTTGGAATTTTCCCATAGATAGAAGAAAAGGCAAATAAAGAAACCAGAAGTACAAGACACCCTATTACACAGGTATCTGAAATCAGTTCAAAGGGGAGTTTCCACTGTTCAGAGGACAAAGGACTTCTCAGAAATATTACTGCAATCCTATTGCTCATTTCTTACTCAACCCAGTACTGCTGAAAAGGATGTTGCTATGTTCCCACCTTAACTGCTTTAGGTGTTGTTCCTGTGGCAGCTGGAGTCAACAAAGATACGTTTGGCTTCTGGAAAAACCAAACTGTCAGCCTTCTTTATTTTTAAACTTGCTCTCAATCTCTCCTGCATTATCTGATCCTATGAATTTGACATTCAGCTGCATATTCGTTAAGGCTAGAAGAGGAGTAACTAAGCCTGGTCTAAATTGTATGCTGAAGGAAACATAACAAAAAAAAAAAAAAAAAGATTCTATGCAATTTTTACCATTTTATAAAAATCTACTAACATCCAAAGGGGGCTTACACTAAAGATTTCAAGACCCAAAAATGCAAGAAAATCTAAAATAGGCATAACATCCTAATGTTTTTAAAATTTTTTTATTTTTATTTATTTATTTTTTTTTTGAGAGAGAGAGAGACAGAAACAGAACATGAGTGGGGAAGGGGCAGAGAGAGAGAGATGAAGACACAGAATCTGAGGCAGGCTCCAGGCTCTGAGCTGTCAGCACAGAGTCCAACGTGGGGCTTGAACTCATGAACTGTGAGATCACAACCTGAGCCAAAGTCAGATGCTTAACCAACTGAGCTACCCAGGAGTCCAAGGTGTAATATTATAATTAAACCTAGGTGGCCTAGCTATAAACTTCTTAATTAAAAAGAAATGTACAGTTGCTACAGGAACTGTAGCTAATGCTACGGAAATATGAAAGGATGGAAGAAATTTTGATTTTGTGTTTCTGTTTCCAGGTCAGTGAATTGTAACCAAGTATTACCGGGTGAGTAGTATACACTTACATGATTTATCGCAGACTGAACGGCCTTTACGTAGTGGGTTAGCTCCCGATCCATCATGGCCAATTCAACCATTGCCTTGTCCATACTGAATTCACTACTCACTTCAGCTGAAAGAAAAAGAAAGCAATTATTTTTTTCCATTTAAAAAGCCATTTTTGGGGGCGCCTGGGTGGCTCAGTTGGTTAAGCGTCTGACTTCGGCTCAGGTCATGATCTCACGGTTCGTGGGTTTGAGCCCCACATCGGGCTCTGTGCTGACAGCTAGCTCAGAGCCTGGAGCCTGCTTCGGATTCTGTATCTCCCTCTCTCTCTGACCCTCCCCTGCTCATGCTCTCTCTCTCTCTCAGAAGTAAATATAAACATTAAAAAAAAAAAAAAGGAAAAGAAAATGCCATCTCTGAAAAAGTTGCTCCGATATAGTCATTATCGGTCAATGATCTAAACAATTTTATAAAAGGTAGTACATGTTGTTTAAAGACCTCCTTAACAGAGGCCTGCTTCATTCAAAATTCTAAGAATACACTCAGTAGAAGAAGGCTCAAAAGTTGGAGTGGAAAACAAAGCCGGTTCAGACTTAGGGGTCTAAGAGTCCAGAGTTCTAGACTGTGCCACTGATTTGTATGATCTGAAATCAACCACAACATTACGCTCAGCCTCAGTTTCCTTTTCAGTTAAAGCAGCCCAGTCATGTTATCTGCATATGAACCTCACAGGATTATTACAGATCAAACAAGACTTCCATTTCTAGTAGGTGAGGTTAGGCGGGCCAATTCTACTGAAAATTACAAAACCACTCAGATAAAATAGGAAGGAAGGAGGGTGGAAGGAAGGAAGAAAAGACGGAAGGAGGGAAGGAAGGAAGGAAGGAAGGAAGGAAGGAAGGAAGGAAGGAAGGAGGGGAGGGAAGGAGAGAGAATTCTCCTTAAAAATAAGAGAGTCACAAGATAGAAACAATCAGGGCAAAATCTAAAGAAAACAGAAAAAGAAGCAGAGCACAGAACGCCCAAGTCTCACAGCCTCCCCGCAGGCAGGCAGCTGGGTCTCTACTCCTCAGAATACAGAGGGACCGGAAGTAATGCCACTGTGTCCTTCCGGGCAAGGCTGGCCTTAGCCACTGAGCAGGACAGAGGTTAAGAGGGAGAGAAAACAATCCTGTTTGTGACAAAGCGTGGCCACCAGCCAGCTCTCCTGGTCCTGCAGCCTAGGCTGCCCCTGGGACCCCAAGCCCGGATCCTGGAGTGAGGTAGTCTCCCACTGAAAGCACCCACAGGCACCCCCTCTGAAGGAGACACTTTCATCCCCAGCCTCAAACAATCCCTGCAAGTAACTACGAAGGAGAATGAGCAGATCGCAGGGGGAAAAGGTAAAACAACAAAAAAAAAACCTTACAAACACAAGAAAACAAGACACCAAGAGCAAGAATCAGCAGAAACAGATCCACAAATGTTTCAGAGATTGGAATGATCTACTAGTTAGAATAGGAAACAACTATGCTTCATATGCTGACAAAAGTAAAACACCTCAATGCAACAGGAGACTATGAAGAGTGACAAGCACATTGGAAAATCGAGGTAATGTTCTTAAGTGCTTTTAAATTGTTTTCTTTTGCCCCAAGCTCTAAACATACAATTTATAGGTCAAGAAAAGATCAAGAACGTGAAATAATGCAAATTTTCACATTAAAAGAGCTGAACGAAAAGAAAGTAAAGCCGACTTAGGCAATCACATTTGGGAATGCACACACTCTATTCACATATGTCGGCTCACACAAATGTCAGTATCTCTTGTCTACTCTGAAGTGCAATGTGACATCTCATCCCAAAGTCACCAAATAACAGAAAATGCGCTCACATTCTGGCTTTTGAAGGTTATTTTCCTAGACTGTAAAATGACGCATTAGTCTTACAGTAGTCAGTGTGCAGCACCTTTCAGAGAGAATGCCTCCTGGATTAATCTGCTTCAGCTAGAATGCCTCTTGGCTTGTAAGGGTCCAGAATTCAGACTGTATCTGTGTGCATATCTCATTACAAGGGTTTTTGGGGTTTTTTTGTTTTAAAGGAAGGGAAAGGGCGGTGTGTACCTAAGAAAAACTTGTATTTACATTCCCCAAATTAAATACATTTTCAACAAAATGGTGTATGACAAAGGACTCAAGTCATATTCTAAATAAAACTGTTAGACTGTCACTCACAGGTCAGTGTTGTGAAACGTTCAAATGTTAAGAAGGGAGATGAGCTGGTTAGGTGCTGCTGATACCAACATGTATCTGGCGCTATGTAGACAGCAACTGTCTGTAAAAAGCCTATTAACTGCCTGATGACTGGAAAGAGAATTTTAAACGATCTATATCCGAATATGATGGTTTGTGACTTATATAAAGGCAGGTATTTTACTGCATTTGGTTAATCAGTGGAATTCAATATACTGTTAACACTCTCCCTGGGATTAAGTAAGTTTATTCTTGAAAGCACATAAAAATGTGCCTTTGACATTAAAAATGCTATGAAAGAGTTTGCAAAATAAAATAAATGGGGTCACGGTTTTCATTATTGAGGTCCCACGGATGCTAGCAAGACTTGAACCAGACGGCAATCTCAGATATAAGTCCAAGGAAAACTTCCCTGCAAAGGAGAAAATGAATGATGGCTGCCGGGTCCTGGGTTTGCTGGCATGACACCTAAGGGAAGAATCTTTGGAGGCCATCAGTGGCTTCCTGCAGCCTCAGCTAGGGCTCCAGGGCTCAAGAATGTTGGGACAAGCAGAGGAACCTAAGTGATGAATAGTGCAGCCTGAGGCAAGAGAGGGGAAAACACCAGAAAAGATCAGGAGAGGAACTGAGAATCACACCCCACCTGGAGGGGATGACCAGTCTGCTAACTTCTGGCTAAAGGCGGTGTCCAGGGCCGCAGCAAAGGGCTGGAGAGCAGAGATCTACGAACCAGGAGGTGGCCGCTCAGCAAAAGGAATCTGGAAGAAAGGCCAGGAGGACATTCAGGGGGACACCCCTGGCAAGTAGCAAACCTGCTGCAGCTATTTTAAGATTCTTTCATCGCTTCTTTGTGTTCTTCTCATGAACTCTTATTTCCCTACTGCGATATGAATCTCTTTTAAACCTGTTATTTGTATTCATGTTTCAGAAACACCCAGCACAGGGAATCTGTGTCCTGCCCTACAAAAGAATCCACGTGAGGAAAGGGCATGGTGTCCCATGAAAAAGGCAAACTGGCCAAAAATAAATCCCCCAAAGGATTCAAGAGGAACTGGGAATGAACAGGCCACCAGGAGTAGGCTGTTGTCTAAAAAGTGGGCGTGGGCTGGGGTGGGTATGTGGATGGCCTTGCCCTTTGACTGCACAATGTATCATCCCGCTATCAAAATTCCCCCAGCCTACAGGAAAGTCACCCCAAAAATCTACACCAAACTAAGTCCTACACATCCTTCAAGGGCTGAACTTAAGCCCTACCTGCTTTGCTTGTTTTTTTTTTAATATATATATATATATATTTTTTTTTTTGAGAGAGAGACAGAGAACTAGTGCGAGAGGGGCAGAGAGTAAGGGAGACAGAGAATTCAAAGCAGGCTCCAGGCTCTGAGCTGTCAGCACAGAACCTGACATGGGGCTCGAACTCACGAGCTGTGAGATCATGACCTGAGCCAAGGTTGAAAGCTTAACAAGCTGAGCCACCCAGGCGCCCCATGCCCTGCCTACTTTTAAACCATGCCAACCTAGGAGGATCTCCTCCTTCACTTAATGTATCTTAACAACTCTACTTGATACTTTGGCACTTTTAAGCACAAGCAATCTTGTTTCCTTATATTCATCTGTCTCATCTCTCCAAACATATTTGAACCCATTTGACAGCAATAACAATGTCTTAATGATCCTGGAATCCAATAAAGAATTATAGCGCCTCTTCCGTCAATGTTCTCACAGGCGTTATTTAATAAATTTGAAAATTAAAACTTCACCAAACTATGAATTGAACTGTCTCAAATATTCTACTGAATTAAAATGTAAAGAAGAGGGGGATCTGGTGGCTCAGTCGGTTAAGTGTTGACTCTTGATTTTGGCTCAGGTCATAATCCCACAGTTTGTGAAACTGAGCCTTGCATCGGACTTGGTGCTGACCACATGGAGCCTGCTTGGGATTCTCTGTCTCTCTCTCTGTCTCTCTCTCTCTCTCTCTGCCCTTCCTCACACACACACACTCTCTATTTCAAAATAAATATTTAAAAAATAAGGTAAAATGTAAAGAAGACATGTGATATAAACTCATTTGTCTATTATGTTTTCATTGTGACTTCCATCAGAAAAAGGTTGGCACCAGCATATGGGGGCAAGAGTGGGGGGGTGGGAAGCACACAAATTATATTAAAATTTACAGAATGACAATCTCAGAGAGGAAATTATTACTGTACCACAAAAGCCTGGCATTACAGAAGATCGGTGCAGATGATAAAGCATGGAAAGCAAGAACACGATGAAAAAGATATGTAAAAATAATAGCTGTAGCTAACAATTCGTAAGCACTTTATTGTGTGTCAAGACTATACTGAGCACACCGGTTACAGTAAACCTCAGAACAACTCTTTTATATGCACTTTACACATAAGAAAAGTGAGAAACTGAGCAGCAGCAGAAGCTTGCTCAGCACCATAAAGGTACTGAGCGCACAGCTAGGCGGCCAACCCAGGCTTCCCTGAGGCCAAGTTTGCATGCTTGCCCATCTGCGCTAACAGGTGCTTCCACAAGAGAAGACAGCACCTCCAAGTCCTCCTCTGTGACTATCCTGGGAACAAACCCTCAGGCCCAGGCTTCATCTCAGCCCCTTGGTGATCCGCTCTAAGTAAAGTACTAGGTATGCCACTCAAATGCTATTGGAATTCCTTACACAGGGGAAACTGATAACAGAAGAAAATTATCATTCCCTTTTATTTTTTTTTAAACGTTTTATTTATTTCTAGGAGAGAGAGAGAGACAGCGTGAGCAGGGGAGGGTCAGAGAGAGAGGGAGTCACAGACTCTGAAACAGGCTCCAGGCTCTGAGCTGGCAGTCAGCACAGAGCCCGATGAGGGGCTCGAACCCACGAACCGCGAGATCATGACCT